TCACCACTACTATCATGTATGGTTTTATTCCATTAGTTCATTGCTATCTGCTATACAGTAACTTTATAGAGAAAGTTTGGGATGTTAACAGTTTCCCCCTAATGCAGCTTGCATTTTTCACTAGACGGAAGGTGCATGCAATGGAAGAGCTTACATGGGTAACTGATATGGATTTTCTTGCCGTAACATGTTATTTCATGAATCATTCTTTAGGGATTTATTTCGCAGTCAAAGGCAATGGCTTTCATTGGAGATGTTGTAAGAGTCTTAGTTTCACATCGAGCGATTTTTGTTTTCACTGGAATTGGCCATAACAGCACCTTTTAACAAGTTGAATTATACACAAATATGTCTACTTCATACTATTTTGCAGAAGTGTGAGAATCACGAAATAATGGATCAAAGATAAGTAAAACTTCTCTGTTTTCCAAAATAAAAGAAGCTCAGTTTTCATGTCATATGGTGTATAACCTCCAGATACTGTTTTCCAGTTAATACCTCTTCTTACTCTTTTCAGGATTACGGGATTGATTTTGATGATCATAATCATCCTATTGAAGCATTTCGGTGCCGTTGCGGAAGTGCTTATTGTCGTGATGGGAAAGGGAAAAGTCAGTATATTTTTCTTTGCTGATATGGTTTTTCTTCTTGTGGTGCTTTAATTCTGAAAGGCCTCTAATTTTCTTGTTAATTCAAATAACGGCTGCTATTTCTTTAAAACTTGTCAGAGGATAGTGTTGTTTGAAAGTACCATTTCTCAGTGAACTGACTAGATAAACAAATTGGAATTCAACTTGGAAAACAACTTAAAATATCAAGTCATTTATGTTGGTATATATTCTGTGTGAATCTATTTCTTGATTGCTGCCGTTAAGTTTATCTGTATGAAATTAAGTGCAATGGTGAGTGTGAATCTGTTTCTTGATTGCTGCCGTTAAGTTTATCTGTATGAAATTAAGTTCAATGGGGTCTGGTGAAGCATAACATGCATATAGTTTTTCTTAGGCTACATAACATGTATGGATGCTTGTTGCTTAAAAAACAATTATAAGACTTGCGACTTACTCCAATAGTTTAGCAATTATCATCAGAGCTCTTTCAACCTAGTTGTTAAACTGGATTGCTGCCAAAGGGAAGGCTCTTAAGCTGATAAAGAGTTCCATTAGACTTCAGTAACATCTTTTATACAGAGAAGCTGGAATTGAGAAACTCATGGAATTGAAAATTCTCAAACAATTACTCTAATTATTGCATTCATCATTAGTTCATCCTATATGAAATTATGAAACGGCAAGAGTCTGAGCTAAATTCTTGCTCTAGTATAGAAACTAGCAATTAGATCTCCTAGAATTAATGCCTGTTTCGCATAAATCCATGAAACTCAGTGCTTTTTGCTTTGATTAAGTTATTACCAGTAAAGAGATTATAAGGATCACATATCACAAATTTTCTTTTATACAGAGAAGCTGGAATTGAGAAACTCATGGAATTGAAAGCTCTCAAACAATAACTCTAATTACTGCATCTATATGAAACTAGGAAATGGCAACAGTCTGAGCTAAATTCTTGTTCAAGAGTAGAAACTAGCCATCTAGATCTCCTAGAATTAATACCTGTTTTGAATAAATCCTTAAAACTCAGTGTTTTTTTGCTTTGATTAAGTTATTATCAGTAAACAGATTATATGGATCACATATCACAAATTGGACAAATTAAATGTCATATTCTTGCGTAAAGCTACATCTTAGATCAAATCTTGAGACAAGGACATCGAGCTTTTGGGACCTCAACCTTGGATGTTTAACTACTACATCAAGCCTTATTGTAATCTTATTCATTTTTCTATGCACAATTTTGTCATTTTCTTTTGTTAACATTTTGACACATTGCTATAGGAACTAAACCGAGTATCTCCAACTGAAGCCGCATGTTGTTGAGCTGCTGATGAATGGTCTCCAGGAATTTGACTCGTGACTGTTGTTTCTCCATTTCTAGATTAGTAAAACACAGCATCCCCGACATTTTTGCAGCTGTTGGTGGAGAATGTTGGTCCTTAATGCCTACTCTCTCTCTGGCTTGTTCCTTGCTGGTTTATGTAGTCTTCAAAATGATGTTTGTTAGTCCACCAAGCAGGTTCTTTTTTTCTTTTTCTCTCTTTTCCTTGGGTCAAGTGGAAGCAGTTTTGAACTCCAAATCTTACACCTGTGGCATGAATTTAGACCACGGGTGCATACATTATCAATAGACTCGCTATTGTATACATTATCAGTATAGAAAAGATTAATTTACATATACAATCGACAGTTGGATATGTGGAAGTTGTGCTGTCATTTATCCTTTTGCATTCTGTACATTTTCCGCAACCTCATCCGCAATCCTGCTCCATTGCGTTTTCCTGTGTTTCTAAATGGAGAAAAGAGTACATGTTTGATGTTTCAAAATTTCAGAGACCCATTAAGGCCCCTTGCCAGGACTGCACTAAGTTGTTCTGGCCTGGCACTTGAATTTTGATGGATGATACCTTGCAAATCAAAGACTCTCTTGTAGAAAAAGGAGAGAAGTTTAACTAGAAAATTAAGGACACTGAAGAATGAATAAGAAATTAAGGACACAAAATGATATACCAAATGGCAATCCAGGTGTACAAGGAAATGGCAATCCAGATTCAAAGACACGTCACTTCTAAAAAAAATGAATTTTGCACCTTTCTTAAAAATCACATCCGTTAGATGTCTTTTTCATCGTTTTTCTTTTCTTTTTTTTTTTTCCATGCAATTCGTTTTCTCCACTTACATTTAAAAGGAAAGAGTCTTAATATGAAGGAAAATGACAAAAGGAATATAGGACAAAAAATTAACAAAGCAGCCTCAAGAAGCCCGTTAACAATGAAACAAAATATAGGGAAAATTGTTCAAAATGTCCATCACATTTTACTAAATAATTTTTTGTATTCATCACTTTAAAGATAATAACTTTACATCCCTTATAAAATTCAGTCAATAAAATTTTGAACCAACCTAGAGTTTTGATTAGTTTTATCCTAAATTTATCACGCGACCCATACATAGTCATTGTTTAGGAATAAAAATGTTAAATTTCATTTATAGTTAAATAAATGATCCGATCCATATCCATTTTTACTCCTAAAAAGTAGAGACTTGACTTGAATGAACCATATTCATTTTTTTTTTTTTTGAAATTGGACTCCGTCTATATTCATTTTTACTATTAAAAAAGTGGGATTTGATCTTTTTATATATAAAAAAATGACTACATGTAAGTTACGTGGTGATTTCAGACTAAAACATGATCGAAAATTTAGGTTGGAATCAAATTTTATTAACTTGAATTTGTAAAAGCATGTAAAGTTAATATTTAAAAAATGAAAAAATTCATACATGTGATAAGATGTAAGAGATGTTCTAAACGATTTTCTCCAAAATATATTAAGAGGAATGGCCGCCTTGTAATGGGTCCACTTATGTCATCAAGAAGAAGACGGAAATTTGGTGGCTTTGAGATAGAAATGACAGGCTTAAATAGTTCCTCATTTCTCAGCCATCTGATTATAGATGATCATATTATTGACAGCCCGATTGCAGGATGACGGACTCAGTTACGGGCCCGAAATTATAGCGACACTACTACGCAATTCTTCGTCGTACGACAAATGATAGAAACAACAAGGTTAATGTGGACGGCCAGTAGAATTTTGTCAAATGTGTCATATGCCCTCTTATATTTTGTAATTAGAGATTGTGTCCCCAATAGCCAATTGAGCTTGTTTCAGGCCTCCAAGGCACAAAAATCCAATAGTTTTCAAGTGAAAGAGCAGTGGGAAAAAAAAAAAGGGAAAATGTTTCTCTTACCAAATAATCAGGAAAGTGACAGGGGGTTCTTTTTGACGATTATGACAATTCACATGAGATTTGGCCGAATTTTGGTACATATGAAATTTTGGTGATTACGCTCTACATAATGCATAGTAGAGCTTTTGAGTTATAATTCTTTTAAAAATATGTACTCTTTTCAAAACTAGAGTTACTATTGCAATACTCATTAATTTTTCACAAAATATAAGGTTTGATCCATAATAGAGTTTAGTTTATTCTATTTTAGTGCAAATACATTTTTTTTTACAATTGCTAATTTTTTAATATATTTTTTTCTTGATTATGACAACCACATTGTACTTTTCAATCTATACTTAATTAATGAATTTATAATTGTAGAAAATTTTTTATCTTTTTCTATATGTATTCACATAACACGTACACTTTTAATTAGAACAATCTAAAAAAGTGCGACATTTATGAAGTGTATAATTTTGTTATGCGGTTGGACCTCAATACGTACCTACAGTTGTGGGTGTTAATACAACATGTTAAATTAGAAGGGTATTTGTGCAATTCCATAAGACACCAAAGGGCTTGAACTAAATTCTAACCACAACGTCATCAATCATTTCGCTTGGCTCAAATTTGGAAAGTCTGCTTTGTTTCTTTATACTAGCACCTTAAAATGCTTCATCCATATCATTATTGTCATTGGTACAGACCAAATTTTCTATATTTTCTTAGCTCCCTTGTGGAATCACTAGCTGTATAATCCAGTACTATCCAAGAAAATTCCCTCGGCCGCCAATAATCCAAATCAGATTCTTGTTCCAAGCTTCCAAAGGTTTACTTCTCCTCTCTTATCCCCAGTTTCCTATCCATCCCATGCGCTCAAATCAATTCTTTAGCTGCAAATGAATTTGTTACCTGTGTTTCTAAAGATGTTCGCTTGATGAGCTATGACATGTTTGATTGATGTACTATTAGTTTTTCTGGATTCTAAGCTTCTTCTGCTTATTGTTTTTTTCTTTTCCAACAAAAAGAAAATTGTGACGGGTGTTTTAGGTTTCGATTTGATGAATTTGGAGTTGGTTGTCGTTAATTTCCTATAAAAATCTAAACTTTTCTTGGTTTGAGTACTTTTCTTATAATTTTTTAAAGAAGAGTGAAAAAATGAGAGTTTCTTTTTGTGGATATAGTTGCAGCGAAATGATGATTGCGGTGGGTCCACTTTTCACAATTCGAATTTTAGCTTGACTAATACTTGATGAGGATGAATATGTTGTGTTTTTTACTGTTTTGATGGCTGAGTAGCTTCTTTTTTTTTTTTTGGGGTACAATTGGTTGCTTAGCTGCAATTATTCTTACTCTTGTATTGCTAATTACTATTTGTCTCTGAAAAATCTTTTTGTTGATACTCTAAGCTTGGGAAGTCTTATATGCTTGGAGACTATAGGGTTATGCATTATTTTGTAGTTATGAGTAGGTAATTTTTGATCAGCTCAGAGTACTAGATATGATTGGTGGTAGTAATTTTGATGTATTAGCTCTGTTTTCCCATTGCTTTGCATCTGGAATGGACAAACTCTCTTTGTAAGTTCAGTTTTGGTTAAGCCAAATTTAATGAGGCGTCATTGAAGTTTACTAATTTTAAGATTCTCTTGAGCTATTATCAATAATGAGAGCGAAAAAAGCACAATATTTCTTAGCATGTTACACAATTTATAGGTATAGCATCTACACTGGATTTGTTAGTCAAGATCGTTCTCGTTTCTGTGGAGAAGTGATGGCAGTAGGCTTATCAATCTTATCATTTGCTTCCTGGAGCTGTGAACAAGTATTAAATTCCTTGCACTTTATTCTTTTGAGTTTTGGCGAGAGAAAGTAACTGGACAAACTTGCTTCTATGCTTGATTACTTAATTCAAACTTCATTCAGCATCTTCCAGTTTTTTATGCTTTCATTTTGGCTTCTTTATCTCTATCTTATGTTAGATGCCATGATATATCCTTGTTCAGCTTTTTAAGTCTCGTAAAAATCTGAAAACAATTGCGAATACATAACTCTAAAAGTTTCCCTGCTGTAGTTCACTTGCTAAAGTTTTCATGCCATATATTTTGTAAGGCCAACATTTGACCTAGATTTTGCTGTGCTTGGTAAATGGCACTGTAATTGTTGATTCTGGTTTGTTTATTTTCATATATGGGAACAATGGGAAACTTTCGGTTGATTTAAGTTTCTCACATTGATCAGTTGTTGGGCAACTGGGTAACATAATATACAGTGGGTATTTGCCTAATTTATCATCTAATATCTCATTTGGCGTCTTTAACCTTTTCACCCACCTTCATGAATTTGTATTTAAACTTTGGTTTTATGATAAACAGGTTTCCCTGATGCATAAAATGGTTATGGTTTTTTGCCTCCTGATAATTTGTCTTATCTTTGCGATGCAATTGATGTAGAGACTTATTTTTGTTTGAACAGATATCTATTTTTCAGTGCACACTTGTTGAACACGGCAAAAGTTAGGTCCAGGACACAATCTCATTTATAGTGAGCTGGCAAAAAAGTGGCAGCTGTCATCTCCTTCATAATTAGTATAAGTGTTTGTATTCCTTCTTTTTATGGACAAAAATGGATGCACATTCTTCATTATTCGTTCAGAGAACTGGTGAAAGTTTGAGTACCATGGGTGCCTCTGGAGCTACATCACCTTGTCTACCTAATTTGCCTCCTCCTCTGGTTGAGAAATACCCTCAGTTACCAGACTCCCTTCATGTTACCTCAGAGCAGGTACTCTCAACAAATACACTTCCCTCTCGTCCTGCTCCATTGGCTTCTAGAAGTGGGGCAGTAGGGCATCAGTTTTCAACGACTTCTGGGTTCCCCAGGGATACTAAGTTTCCTCCAATTTCACCTCAAGGCAGTCAATCACAAAATTATCCCTTCCTTTCCAAGTCATTAAGGGCTGAAACATCTCTAGAAACCATTCCCTCCTCCTTTTCGGGGGTTCATTCTGCTCCAGTTGACAGTTACCACATCGGAAATGGCGGAAATGGCAATACATCCTGGGGTAAAGATGCCCTTCAAGACTTTCCTGACTTTTCTGGTAATGTTCCCGTTCAGAATGATCAAGTAGAGAGCCTTAAAGGTGTTATTGCATCTGAAGACCATGCTAAGAGAACTGAGTGGAATGAATGGGCAGATGACCTGATATCTGTTGATGACTCTCTAGATTCCAATTGGGGTGATCTCCTTGTCGATGTCAGCTTTCCCGATCCAGAACCTAAGGTTTGTCTTTCAACTTGCATTTCATGGTATATGTGTTTGTCCTCTGATAGTTCCAATTACAGATGTAGATTGCTTAATTAAGCTCTTAAACAATAGTCTATGCCCCTTCATTTCCTTAACTGGTGCTAAATTGTTCCTTGGATCTCTGATTAGTTGTTTATGCTTAATGTCAATTCTCTAATATTACACAGGATTGATCAATCTGCTTGAGTTTGTAGTGGTAAGTTTATTTCACTTTGTATGAACATTCTGTGTTTAAACCTATACTTCCCCCTTTCCACTTCTTCTATTTGTTGCATGTGTATTGAGGCACAAGCTGCGTGCAAGCTAAACCCCAAGTTAAGTGATAGTGGTATAAGGCTTATAGAGCATAAAGCAGGTTATCCTGGTCATTCCCTGGGACCTGTTAGAAACAAGGACGCTCTTTTACCAATTTGTCTTTTTAGAAAGTAAATTCAATTTCTTTCTGTCTTTACCTTCCCCTATATATCGCAACTTTTCTAGAAAATTTGGTCATTGCTTCCAAAATGTCCTCCCAAGGAATAGTTTATATAATTGTGGATTTGAATGGTGTAGGCAATTTTGGTTATTTTGCAACCTATTCCTCCTTCGTATTGCAAACTATTTGTACTTATTGCAACCTTAGCATACACATGTTTGCAACTTATATGCTTGATTGACATTCTCCAGATAATATTATGCTTGTTTTAATTAATTTTATCGTGTAAATTCATTGCAGGTGTTGAAGTTGTCACCTGAAGTACCTTTGAGAGAGGCCCAGCCTTCTAGTCACACTCCTGTTTCATCTGTACAGAGTATTGATGTTTCTAGTCCATCGTCTGCTGCTCCATTGGCGAAGCCTCGCATGCGTTGGACACCAGAGCTTCATGAGATCTTCGTGGACGCTGTCAATAAGCTTGGTGGTAGTGAAAGTGCGTAGCTTACTGTTTTCTTTTGTAAGTTCTTGATTTAAGTAGGCTTTGCAAGCCAAAATAAACTACCTAATTTAGCAGGAGCTACTCCAAAAGGTGTCTTGAAGCATATGAACAAAGAAGGCCTCACAATCTATCATGTGAAAAGCCATCTACAGGTTCGAGGAACTCTGTTATTGAGCTTTATTCATCTTTATTGTGGTTGTCATTTTTCTCACTCTATTTTTGTTGGTGTTATTCATCTGTCAGAAATATCGAACTGCCAGATACAAACCAGAGCCATCAGAAGGTAGACTCTTATTTAAATTTGCTATTACTTTGTTATGAATGTGTATCACTGGTCTGCTGATCATCTTGGTTTTGCTGCTTTTCCTTAATCTCTCTCGAAATTGGTTATTGTTTGAATCTGTTTAGCAATATGAAACTATTGCAGTAGTTGCATGCGCTTGCTGTATGATTTCAACTGATTTTAACACATTTTGAAACTTCCACATTTGTAAGTATGCATAGAATAAGAGATACTAAAATGGAAACATGTCTAGCTTCAGTATTATTGCTTTAGGCATTTCAGTCTAATGTTGAAAATTATGCTAGAGAAGATAAGAAAGAGGTGAATTATTCTGTTCTGATTGCAGGAACTACAGAAAAGAAGTCACCTACTGTTACAGACATGACATCTCTGGACTTGAAAACGTGAGTTATCTTGTTCTCGTCTCACTTGGCTGTAAACCTAAAAGTCCAATGCATGGCTTCATACCAAGTATGTATTGATATAAAGCTTGATAGGACTTTTAAAGTAGCTACTGATAAGATTGATATCATAGACTGATTTGTGAACTTTTGGTGCATGTTTCTGTTGCCAATGCGTATTATTTTGAATATTGGAGGTTGGCCCTCTCTTAATGTTGACTGTAATATCCATCTTCTTTCGGCAAGGAAAGTTTCTGCCATTCTTTACTTGAGTGAACGTTAATTGTAACATTGTTTGTCAGCTCCTTCGTCTCTAGGGAACTTGACATAGTGGAGAAGGAGCACTCCGGAAAAATTATAACACCTGTTTGTGCAATTTTAGAATTTCAGCTAGGCAGCTTTTGGGAGAAATGACACATTTGTATACAGGAGTAGTAGAATATCTGCCCCTTGGTTAACTTCCCAATGACCAAAGTGTTCAAAAGGAAATGCTTCTTGTTGACTTCTTCTTAGCAGCATCAAACTCTCCACAAATCTGCCTTTGTGAATGATTCTGTCAATGCGCGTACAAAGGCCTTCTCAATTGATTTCATCGAGTATGTTTGACACAGTTTGAGAACAAGACACAGTTCGACATTTGAAATTTTAACGATTGCCTGAGCTTTCTGTCTGTCTGATGACTGAAAATTTGCAAGTAGAAAATTAGCAAAAGATTAACAAAGTTCTTATGCTAATTGTAACCTTTTCGCCACTTTCTGCTTCACTCATTTCATCTCAAATAATTCTCAGCATCATGTTTGTGGATGCCGTAAGGTTGAGTTCTCTTGACAAATTTAATCTTTTTTTGGCTTTTGGCAGCCATATTTGTTGATTTAATGATCTGTGAACTTTTGAAATTCAACTTTAACACCAGAAAAGTGATTGTAAAAGATTGAAGTTGATAAGGATGGGTGAACTTATCCATTGTAGTAGTAAATTTATGGCTCACGTGAGAGCTAGTTTACCAACTTTCTGTGGTTGTGATCAATTGAGATGGCAAAATTTTCTGGGGGAAAATCAGACTGCTTTTTCCTGGATGTAAACCTAGTGCAAAGACATTGGTATCATAATAAGAAATGGCTGCCCTCGGTAAAAATGACTTTAAAAAAAATCAGCACGTTGTCCATCTGGTGTAAGACTTGTCTGCATTTCTCCCCTCACTGCATAAAATGGAAAAAGTTTAGTCCATGATCAGCTTTTTATTATGCAAGCTTGCCATCATTGTGTATTGCTCAGTGTACTTCCTTCGATTTATGAAGCTTACAGTTTCACTCTTACTACCACTCAAGCATATTTGTAGGAGTAAGGGAGGACTCCTAGAGTGCTCTTTGCTGTCAGGTTTAGGGTTTGAATCCTGAGCCTAATAGTTAGGGGTAGGACAGGTATGGGGAAGTAGTGGGACGGTAAAAAGAAATTAAAAAAAAAAGTCACACTGGGGCTATCAGGAGGCAAGTTGTTAACGTGCAAATTTGGAATGAAATTCTGATTCTTTAATTATTCGCATGTTTTCGGGCTTTTTCCTATGTTGTTGGTGTACATGCACAATATCTGTTTCAGATGTTGGATATATCCGTTCATTTGCTTCTTTTGGTTTTTATTTTTATGATTGCTTGTTGTCTAGGAGACCAAGTCTTCTGCAGTTTATGCATATGAGCTAAAATTCTTGTATCATTCTTTTTACATGGAGGAATGAATTGGCCTTTGCTTCAACAGTTTTGATTCCTAACAGTGTCTCTGTGTAATTAGAGGTGCAGACTTCAAATTTCTTGCTTTCAATTTGCCATTACAGGACTACAGGAATAACTGAAGCCCTAAGACTGCAAATGGAAGTTCAAAAACAACTACATGAACAACTTGAGGTACGCAGCTAATGAAATAACTTGTATAAGAGATTTTTGGTACTTTAGCCTTATCAGGTGAATTAAGAAAATTTGCCTCTCACTGAAATTTTTTTACTGGTCTGTAATTCTGTCGGCTGCAATGTATTGCTCTTTTCATTTAATCAGGAGATGCTCAAAACTTATTTTTGTCAAAGACCTTACACACTGATCATTTGGGTTTGGATGAATCATCTTAGGGGCTGCTTGGTTAAAGGGTTTGGGAATCACAGAATGGAATAAACCCCTTATTTGTTGCTTGGGTTAAGCCTATTGGAATGCAATCTTTGGAGTCATTTCTAAAAAAACGGACTTATCCCATTCCCGAGCAAATTGGGAGGTTTTGGACAAAACCCTCAACTAATTCCCTCAGACAATATTTATGACGGGCCTACCCTCTCTTTCTCTCCATCACACGCAGCACCTTCTGTTCTTCTTGTTCATCAGATTTCCTATCTCTTCTTGTTCATCTCTTATCCAAAATTTCTTCTCCGTTGCCTCTGCAATTTTCTTCTCCGTATGCAAGCTTTTCTCTTCCTTCTTCTCTGTTTTTTCAGGCTACTCACTGGCTAGCTAAAAATAAAAAAGAAAAGAAGGGAATCTGACAGAATAACACTAACTGGACCAAAATGCTATGCTCTGGACCCATCACCTTCTCACTTTTATTCCACTCACGCTACTCACTGTGTTTTCTTGAATTACGCATTCAATGGAAGCTCAGAAACAAAGGGTCAATCGATTCTTGATATTTTGGTTATTTGATCCGTGAATACTGGTATAATTTGGGTGGGCTTCTGGTTGCCTTGTACCTATTTGTAAAATTATTTGCCTGAATACCTTTCAGTTCCATAGTTATGGGCATTAAATACAAAACCTGCCAGTTTCTCATAAAGAGCTGGTATGTTATGGGCAATTTCTTTTTTTTTTTTTTTAACTTTCACATATTTAATTTATGTTAAATACAAAACATACTAGTTTTCTTTTGGGCACTATTTAACCAATTTTTCCCATAAAGAGCTGGTATATTTTTCATAAAGAGCTGGTACAAAATATACTACAAAACCTGCCAGTTTCCCATAAAGAGCTGGTATGTTATGCGCTATTTAACCAATTTTTCATATTTAAACAAATTTATGAAAATTAAAATAACGTATTTGAAAGTTGCGTTTTTATTTGGAAGAACGCATTCCTTGGATGCATTTTTCACCCTTTGGGAAGAGACTCAAAATCGTCACCCTTTGGGAAGTTAGTTTAAAAACTCCCTCTTTTTGGAAATTTACTCCTTGTTAATGCACCCACTATATTTATTTTCTGGTATTAATTTTTTTTATGGTTTATGATTTTCTTATGTTTTATCAAAAAGTTAATAACTATTGTAGTTACAATTATGGAGATGTTAATTTCTCGTATGTGTAATTCTTTTGTTTTATAAGAATTGTTATATCAGGGATAAATTTGGAATTCAATTGCATTTAATTCCGAAACACTCATCAAACCAAGCATCAGGAATTAGAATGATGCTAATTCTAATGTGTGAACCAAGCTAAATATTGGAATGAAAAGTTTAATTCCAAAACCAGAGTCTATGATTCCATTTCCATTTCCGATTCCAATATATGAAACAAGCACCCCCTTACTGAGACTGTAGTTGGTTGGATTCAACAACTCTTGGGGCTCACTTTTACTGAGTTGTCAACCTTTCTTTTAAGATTAGCCAAACTGTTTGTTAAATTTGATGTTAATGAGGATTCATTGGTTGTGCAATGAACATATAATCTTTTTCTACTTCCATTTGGCTCATTGGGTTCGGTGATTTTTATTTTAATTGTCTCTCAAAATTTCAGCATCATTTGAACAGTCAGATGTACTGCAGTACAAATTCAAAAACTCGTTTTTTTTAAAACTTGTAAAGCAACAATTTTGCAACATGGAGAGAAATTTTGCAAGCTGAAGTCTTCTTCACTTGCAAGAAAACTCGTATTTTTTTATGGTGATTTTATTTTGAATCAAAGGGACTTAACCTTCAGAGAGTCAGAGCATGATTAGGGAGAAAGCTCGTCCATGTTATCCTGCAAAATCGTCTTGGTTCTTTTTCCTGGAAGGAGTCCATCAAGGAAACTCAGTGTGCTGATTCTCTTGATAATTGCCTTGATGACTTGGTGTCCATGAAGTTGCCATCTACATAATGAATCATTATAATTAGGCACAATTTCAGGTGAAACAATTGGACCAGGCAATGCTTTTGAATTATGATATCAATGTGAAAACAAGCGATTCTTAAATCTCCACTGCTTATGGAAATGGCAGTCAACTTTTTTGGATTTTGCAACTCGTTGGCCCAAGCAAAGGGACCTGTATTTTAACCTTTAAGATATGGTATAACAGTCTATACTGTTTCCAGGATTAGGATTTCTTTCTTGCTATAACAATTATGGACAGAATAGTTTTGAAATCTGAATGTTTTAGCAGGAAGAAGATATGGATCTATCATCTTTATTATGCAATTATTGACATTTGATGACATCGAATTCTTTCTCTGACTTGTTTATTATTTGAATAGAAATATCATGAAATATATGCTTCTTCCTTTGTATTTTCCGTTTGGCTGAAAGATTGCACTGTCCCTCAGATCCAGAGAAGTTTGCAGTTGCGGATTGAAGAACAGGGCAAATACATTCAACTGATGCTTGAGCAACAGAAGAAGATTGAGGAAGAAAGGTCAAAGAAGAAGGATTCAAATCCTGTTGAAGCTTCTCTCGCCCCATCTAAAGCAGTAGAACCTTTACCTGATGATGAAAAATCGGAAACGCTGGAGAAGAATAATGTAGCTAAAGCTTTAGAGAAGGAAAATGAGGCCAAAGTATTGAGCTCTGGTGATGCTGGAGTTACAGCAGAACAAACTCAGACTCCTAATAGGAAGCAGAAGTCCCCTGAGGGGAAAACATCAGAGGATAATGACCAAGATGGCAATGCCTCCCCTGTAAAACGTGCAAAAGTCGATGGTAGTTTGAACTCATGATAGCTAGTCTTGTAATTGCTTTCATAGTTTAGATTGTAGGCGCGGGACATCATGGATAAAGATTGTGGATTGTGGACTGTGGTGGAGATGTTATTGAATTGACAAAAGAATTGTGCATCTATTAAAATGCTAGCTTGATTTTTTTTAAAATTTTTTTTCAAACATGCTTGATCTTTCTCGGGAGCTAGTGTTCAATACAACTGACTTTTACCGGGGTAGTTTACCAGTTTTTGATGATCAAACTACTCGTTTTAAGGTTTTCAAACTGGATGGATTAGGTTGGTTCTTGGGAACATGTTTATTGACGGCTGCCATCCATCTGCTATTTTCTAGTCTTGACTCTCTTGCCACTACCTGACTGCCATACTCCATTCACGAGAATTTGTTAAAGAAGTTAAAAAAGACAGAGAAGCTAAGAGGGATGGAGGAAATGAAAGAGGAGAAAAGGGAAAGCAAAGAGACATCTAAAAAGCAGCATCATCACAATTTCTTGGAGTGTCTATACTTTGGAAAACCATGGATATGAACACTTGCCAGCAAAATGAGTTGGTTATAATTGCAGAATCATATCATCACCAGCATCTGTCTCTTCACAGTTTCTTGAAGTACAATGAAATTTAGGAAATGGGAAAGTGAAAATGCCAATCCAAGTTGAGTTTCGTATCCGATTGAATTGAATCATCATAATCTTAAGAAATATGCAAGTGATCATAAAATACAATGAGCTTTTTCTGGTGCTTATTATTGGTAATGAGAGAATACATATGCATCTCTTGACCGAATCTATTGGCAATGTGAAGGTGGAGAGGCAGGTGATCATGTGATGACATTAAATTTGTTACCAAGAACATCCCTTTGCCATAAACACAACCTCTGCTCTTCCGGCAGCTGCAGGGCATCGGTGGATGGACACCATTAAAGAACACTACCTTCCTTTTTATCAAAAGGAGAAGAGAGAGGGGGGGGGGGGGGGCAACTACAAGAAGAAGAACAGTACAAGATCCCTAGATTATCCGCTTATGAAGATTTTCTAAGTTGACCAAACCATATGTTAACCTTCGAAAGAAGCAAAAGAAAATCATATTTGGTTATGTTCATCGTTTTCAGATAATCATGTCTAAAATGATTAAGGTTATACAGTGAAATCTTCGCTCTTTATAGGACCATACAAATTCTATTAATTTAGAGAAGTATTAATTAATTTGATATATTAATAATTTATTAATTATAGAACGTGCTTACAATTCAAAGAAACGCTCGTCTAATCAACTAAAATTTTATTTTATTTCATAAAATAATGAATTATTCTAATAGACTCATATTTTAAGAACATATGATATGTAATTTTAGTGAATTATTAATTTATGATATGAATGGGATCAAAGAGTTGTGTAAATTTTTTTAAAAAATTATTATCTTATTATTTTGTTGAAATTATTTATCTAGCTTTCCAATTCAAGTCGAAATCGGAGAAAAAAATTATTATTTAATAGAGGCGATTGGTTAAGCTTTTAACCATAAGCTATGCCTATAAATTTGTGAATTAGCAGAGTCAGGAGTTAATGCAAAATTTTAAGGTTATCAAAGTTTTAAGAATTAAAATCCCTCTGTAAATTAGCAAAGTCAGGAGTTAAACGCAAGTTATTAAAGTTTTAAGAATTAATATCTCCCTCTGTAGCCTATCAAAAACAAGAAAATACCCTAACTTTGACATATTTATGAACTCTCTAGTCTTGTCATGATAAAGGAGACTGAAAAAAAAAAGCCAAACGAAATACTTGAAATAAATGGTAGGTCATGAATCATGATATCCCCATGAACATTTAATAAAAGGAGAAATCTGAATTCCTTTCCATTAATCAAATTAATTACAGATACATAGTGGAGTAACTGTCAGTAATTATTTAGAAAAACCCAAAACGGAAAAAGACAATTCAGTTAGTTATCGTTGTCTGCAGTTAAACAACAAAAGGACGGATAAGTCTGTGCAAGTGGGCCGGGCCCCACCCTCACCCGCTCTTTAACTCCCCAATCCAAAAACCTGCTGCGGTCCCCACATCCAAACATCCCCTTACCAATACGTTCCTGCCTCGTCATCTGACGGAATTCCCGAAATACCCCTGTGTCGGTTATTCTTTGTCATCCATGAAATTCCTTCCTTCTTCCACCGCTTCCATTTCAACACGACAACACCATAACCATTTGCTTTTTCTTCTCAGAAATATCAGAATAAACCCAAATCCTCCCCCTTCCTAACCCGGGCTCTCTCTTCTCTATTTTTTCCTTCAGGAAAGAGTGCATGCAGCCACGTTTTTGTTGATTTTGACATCTCTTTTTCATTTTTTATTGCTTTAAAACAGTGCAAAAGAGATGAGCTAAATAGAGTTGGAGAAGAGGGAGTTGAGGGATCTGCAGAAATATGCTTTTAAGCCTTCAGGTATATGTATTATTCATCATGGCACAATTTTTTTTTCTGTAAATTTAATCAAAGCCATTGCATCTTGTTTACATTTTTGGTCCGCAGGAAGAAGCGTGAAGGGACAATGATGTTAGTGAGAATTAAAACATCCTTATTCGCCTAGGAATATAGACCCTTTTGATTAGTAATATGTACCGGATCCTATGCCATGTTAAATGTTTTTATTTCTGTTGCTTTTTCTGTTATTTTTATGTTTTTGTTTTGGCATATTCTGTTATGATGAAGACATGTATTGGCTTTTCAGGTTGTTGATCAATTGGTTTGTTATGTTTTGCATTTGTTAATATGAGGGTTGGTTAGAATGTTGGTTTGGATAATGGTTACTGGTATAGTACTTCTGTGGCTTTTGTGGGTACGAGTTTGATATACCAACAAAAGTTTAATGGTATAGTACTTCTGAGGCTTTTGTGGGGTTTTCTTGTTTTTGTTTGGTATCATATTCTAGTATGGGTATACATCTTTGGTGCATCCTCTTTCTGTTGGAGGATTTTGCAACATTATTCATCTCAATTATTTGATTTTTTTTTGTTGCAATTCTGATGTACTCCATTTTTGTTTTATGTTTGTCGGTTGGAACGAGAAGTTGCTCTTTGGTGCGATTGGCGTTCACATTGTGTTCCTGTCACTCAAAATGTTAAGCAATGACAGTATTTTGCTTGGTTGTTGCTGATCTCTTAACATAAATGTGAATTTCTGCCCAAGAAATGATTTTTATCTCTTTCCAATTGCTTACGCATGTAACTCTTGGTGGTATTATCACGTTATAAAGCTCGTGTATTTCTTACTGACCTATTCTTTTACTTGATTGGATTTTTTTGCAGTAAAGATTTTTTTTTTCTTTTGAAATAATGTAGGATTACTACTTTGTGCATTTAGTTTTGTCATGCTACGCTGCTTTGTTTTCTTGAAGGTCCGCTGATCAGGGATGGGGAAGAAAGGGGGCTGGTTTTCTGCAGTGAAAAGGGTGCTTAGTCCTGAATCAAATGAAAAGAAAGATAAGGTAGGGTACTTGAACGCCTAAAAATTTTCTTTTTTCATGCTTTGACTGATTGAAAGTTTATTCATCATTTCATTTTTGTTGAATTTTTTCAACTAGAAAACCCGTAAATCGAAAAGATGGTTTGGAAGACAGAGGAGCGCGGATTTGGATGCTGTACAAACAGAAAATGCAATCGCAACTCCTGCAGCCTCATCTACTGTGGAGGAAGTAAAATTGACTGAAGCTGAAAATGAGCAGAATAAACATGCCTATTCTGTTGCTCTTGCCACTGCCGTGGCAGCAGAAGCAGCTGTAGCAGCTGCTAAGGCAGCAGCAGAGATTGTTCGGCTCACAGCTGCAGCTCATTATTCTGGCAAATCAAAGGAGGAAATTGCTGCTATCAAGATTCAAACAGCTTTTCGTGGATACATGGTGACATTAGTGGTTCCTTTTGTTGGCACTTGAAATTGTTCAGTGATCATATGTATGCAGACACATTAGCTGGGCATGCATTTGTTGTCTTCCATAAAGAACCTCAAATATTCGTAGTTGTTGCCTTTCATGAACCTTCTACTTGCCACAGAAAAGAAAGACCTCGAATCAAGTTGAGAAATTTAACTTTTTTTTGACAAAGTCCTGAGTATAATCGAGTTAATTACTATGCGTTATCTACTATCGGTCAAGCTTAATTGTCATGGTTCTGGTTAGAGGTTAGTTATGCATTTCATGCCTCCCTGGAGGATACTTGCAGGCATTTATTATGTGACATGACTCCTTGCATTTCATAGTGTGATTTATGACATCTTAGGCAAGAAGGGCATTGCGGGCTTTAAGAGGATTGGTGAGGTTGAAAACTATGGTTCAAGGGCAATCTGTCAAACGTCAAGCAACAACCACCTTAAGATGCATGCAGGCCCTCGCCCATGTGCAATCTCAGATTCATGCAAGGAGAATCAGAATGTCAGAGGAGAATGAGGCTCTCCAGAGACAGATCCAACAGAAGCGTGAGAAGGAGCTTGAGAAGCTGAGAACATCTGTAAGTGTTCCCCAGCCACCCCCCCCCCCCCCGGTGGGGGATTTTAAGGGAATATGTAGGTTATACACTACTATCACTGCACCTCCACAATTTTTGTGCTTTCCAAATTGTCTAGTACAAGAGAGCTCTAGATTTTTAACATCTGTAAAGATCCACTCACTGCTATGCCCCCCCCCCCCCCCCTGCAGGGGATTTTAAGGGAATATGTAGGTTATACACTACTATCACTGCACCTCTACAATTTTTGTGCTTTCCAAATTGTCTAGTACAAGAGGGCTCTAGATTTTTAACATCTGTAAAGATCCACTCACTGCTATGCCTCTTGTTTTTTCACATGCTAATTATCACCTGTAGCTGGCAATTCTGTATGCGTTGCTCATTCAGATGTGAATCAGTTTAGGCTGCAAAAGCTTCTGGAATTGGACAAGAATATACATATCTTAATTTCTATCAACACTGACATTTTTGTATCTACTGGGTTATGTATGGGCAGCAGCAAAACCAGTGCAACATGATAACTTGTAGAGACCTTAAGTATGAAAGATATGAAGCTGATGCTCTTGAATTAGATTTAACCTTCCTGTGTGGGCTCTTAGATTTATTTCAAGTTAAATAAAACATCTGGAGTTCCTTCAATTTTGATCCGACGTTGATTTACTTATTTGTGCCTTGAATGAGAAGAAACTTCTTATGCTTGAATCACCCCAAATAGTGCAAGCTCATATGTGTAATGTGGATGTAAAGCAAGGTTTTCTGTCTTGTTTCTTCGTTTTGATTACAAGTGGGCTCAAGATAATTGTGAAAATTTATGACAGATTGGAGATAACTGGAATGACAGCACTCAATCAAAGGAGCAACACGAAGCAACCCTGCAGAGCAAGCACGAAGCAGCTATTAGAAGGGAAAGGGCATTGGCTTATGCATATTCGCATCAGGTACCTTACTTTTGTCATTTCTTGTACTTCCTTAAGATCAGTTGCATATTCTTTCTGGCATTGGAAGAGCCATCCTCCAGATTTCGTCTATCTATCAGAATCTACAAGTGAAAAGCATAATCCTTTTGATGTTTTAGCTGGAACAATGGACATAATATTGCATATTTATGCATTACTAAAACACACCATAGTATGTTTAGCTGGTTGTTAACTAGTCCTTTTTTCCTGCACTTCCTTGTAGTTGTAGGAAATTACAGCCCTTGAAGTTTAAGTTGCTCTTTGCACTTTTTACCTTGTTCAGTTTCTTAATTGTTATTCATCATGCTTTTGATTTAAATCATATATCAATCTTACAGCAATTCTTAAATTCCATGAGTTATTTTCTATGGTCATTTGTATCTGAACCATTATTCTGAATCTATGAGTTGTTGCTGCAAATCTTCAAGAAATATTATACAAATTTGGATTCCATGAAGCCATTTATCAAGTCTACAAATAATGTGGACAAGGTTACATTCTTCACCAGAGATGGTATATGAGTGATGTTTCTGTGCATTTTATTTCCCCTGCATAGAAGCATTAGAGTGATGGATTTCTTGTGTGGAGTCCAATTTCTAGCTCTCTCGCTTTCACTTGATAAGTGAAATTTTAAGGCAGGGTTGCTATGCTAAAATGTTCGTTGTGCAACTTCTTTTTGGAAATTATCTATGAACATAGAGTAAATAATCTCTGTCTCAGCAAACACGGAGAAACTCTTCTAAATCTGCAAACCAGACGTTCATGGATCCAAACAATCCTCAGTGGGGGTGGAGTTGGTTAGAGCGATGGATGGCTGCCCGGCCTTGGGAATCAAAAACTGCAGTTGACAAAGAGCTTAACAGTGATCGTGCTTCTCTAAAGAGTGCAACCCGAGCTGCTTCTGTTGGGGAATTCCGCTCATACTATGATGATAATAAGCCTTCTCCATCTGCTCATAGGCAAAGCCGCCCTCCAAGTCGTCAATCACCTTCAACTCCCCATTCAAAGACACCAACCTCGTCCTACATTACAGGAAAGATGAGGTCACCAAGTGTAAAAGGAAGTAACCATATGGATGAAGACTCTAGAAGCTTCTGCAGTGCACAGTCAGATTTCCAACGGAGGCATAGTATAGCTGGTTCTTCAGTGAGGGATGATGAGAGCCTTGCAAGCTCTCCTGCAGTTCCTAGCTACATGGCCCCTACGCATTCAGCTAAAGCCAAGTCCAGGTTGCTGAGCCCCATGGGTTTGGAAAACAATGGGACACCAGACAAAGGATCAGTTAGTTCTTCGAGGAAGAGGTTATCTTTCTCCACTTCTCCTGCTACCGCAAGGAGGCACTCTGGGTCCCCTAAGATGGATGCTAGCTCTGTTAAAGACATCAATGCTACCTCATGAGGATGAAAGGCAGCCAATGACAAATGGAGATATGAGAAGACATCAATGTTTATATAAACTTAAGACAGCTGGTATGATGTTGAAATAACGTATAACCAATCGAACAATTCGAGCTGTTTTCGACCTCTTGGACAATTTGAGAAGAATGAATAGAGTGAAAACTGAATGAGAAGAACTGTTAGTGATCTCAGGTGAAAAAGGTGTCGCTTTGGATTCTGAAATTTATCAGTTTGGATAGCAACCTATATTTGATGTATATTTTTGGCTTCAAGATGATCTTATCTGGGAATTCTTTGATATATATGCTGCTTCAGTTCTGTGAATAATGGGGTAATGTAAACATTTGGTGATGTTCAGTTGGAGGGTAGACATTTCAGCTTGTCGTGTACAAGATTTATATATTAGCCCTGATGGTAAAGCAAGCTTGTCGCAAAAGATGCATAGACAAATATTTGCTTCTCTGTACTCATGTTTCCTTGCAGTCTCTCTGGAGTTGTTTTCAGGCATCCGGTTCGAAAAAACGAAAATTTTGTCAAATTGCACTCATAATGCAGTTCAGACTTTCCACTGCCAAATGGTACGGGATAAAAAAGATGCCGAATGGTACTTTGCTTTGAGTTCACACATTCATCACAAGAAAGCCAACACCGACATTAACTCCACCCCCACCCCCACTTTCTCAAAAAAAGAAAATCCCCATCCCCCACCCCAGTCGGACCCATGAGTTTGAAGTAACTGGTAAGCGAGAGTTGTTAACGTGAACAGGAGGTCACAAGTTCAGCTCCTACGTTACATTACATGTAATACCTTGAAAAATTTTGGATCAAACCTTTACTCCAGAATAAGAGTCGAATTCTGCAGACATTCCCTAGATCAAATCAGAATTAAGCTCACTGAAAGTGGAGATATCAAAAAAAAAATAAATAAATAAAAATTGGTGATATTTTATGCATCTTTATCTCTAGTACTTTTGATTCTTGATCGACGCGTCAGTATTGTCACTTTGAATTGTTATTTTTTAAAGAATAATTTTTATATTATTTTTTTGTGTATGTATTTTTTTGTCAACTACTTTATTATTCACGTATATCAAATCATTATAATATATAATTTTTTTTAATTAAAACTCAAAAGAAAAGGTGAAAACAGGTTCTCAGCCCCTAGTGTCTTCACACTTGGATTCAGTTCCATTGATTAACAACTGGATAATGGAAGACGTGTCAGGCAGAGCCTCTACCCTTTCCTCCTTCGCGATTTGGTTCGATTACGAGTGGGTTTCACTTTCACTAAGAACTACGACCGAACAATTAAACATATATAAGAAATTCAGAGATTAAAGTTCCCAAGATTCCAATCAAAGTCTAACCGACGGATTCAGTCAATTAGCTACCGTTCTATTCAGTCAATGTTAGTTGCTGCGTATGATAATCAAACGAACCAAAACTCAAATCAAAAGCCTGTCTTTGGTGGTGATCTTCCAGAACGCACTCAAGAAACTTGACCCGACAAGTCCAGAATTCAGAAGCTTCCTTCCAAGACAAACCTCGGCCTTGCACCATTTGATGCAATCCCCAACCCTGTTCTCCATTGCTTCCAAATATGGTAATTAAAGCTTCTAATTTTGTATATACTCCTTTGAATTCAAGCTTCAATCATTTGTATTAGCCATCACTAGTTTCTTTTACAGCAATATCTTTATTATTTGGCTAAGTATTCAGCTGGGTTTTTCCTCCCTCTTGTTTGGTTCCTTAATTTAATTTTTTTAAAATTATTTCTCTGTGATTCATCAGCCCCATTTCTTTCACATGTTTTGATTTCTGCTATCAGCCTTTCGAGTTTGCTTATATAAAATTTCTATGAGGAAAGCATGTTGCATTGAAATTAGATTAACAAGTGAATCTAACTATTCGAAGCTTGTGAAATTTGTAAGGAGTGGAACAAACCATTTTGGTTCGTTAACATAATAGTTGCAACCATTTGCAGTGTGTTTCCTGAATTTAACGAATATATTTTGTATTCATGGAAGGCGGCATTTTCCATGAGGAATCTTGAAAATGGATATCCGTCCTAAATCCTTTCATTACTTGGTAATTATTGTGTTTTCTCTTGTAGACGAGTGGCTAAAGAGTCATACCGCCAAAAAAAAAAAGCTTCATCTCCACGACATGGATCACAGTCATCAATCCAGTGGATAGTGTTTAGTACTAGCTGGTAGTGGTTGAGAGAGTACCTTAGGAACTATGATTCTGTGGATTTTTTTTTCTATGGTAGACAAGAATTAGTGAGCTTCTAAATATTCTTCAGGCTACCCCATTTCTGGCTGGACTTGCAGTCGCTGCGACAGCTCTAGCCGGTAGATATGGAATTCAGGCTTGGCAAGCGTTTAAGGCACGTTCGCCAAAATCTAGAACCCGAAAGTTTTATGAAGGTGGCTTTCAACCTAAAATGACCAGAAGGGAAGCAGCTCTTATCCTGGGCATTAGGTAAGCAACTCATCTGCTGAAATGTTTGGTTCAAGGGAAGTTGGAAGGCCATAGTTCACTTCTCTACTGGAGGTTATCCAGATGCCTCAGACATGTTATGCATTAACACGAAATGTGTTTTAACCTTGAATTATATTTGGTGAAGTAATTTCAAGGAATATGTCAAAAACCTCTAGAGCATACATGATGCTGGGGGTCATATCAGATAATTGATTTGAAATGAAGGCTTCTTACTCACTGCAGACAAATCCATGTTGATGAAGTAACATGGTTCTGCTAATTCATTTCTCATATAGTGGGAAATTTGCAAGAACTTGCTGAACATCAGGATCATTAAGCAGGGGTTGAAGAAGATGATTAGTGAAATGGAATAGTGAAGTAATTGAGAAAGACAAAAGCTATCACACAGTGGACTGAAGTATATAGGTGGATTTTATAATGAAGATGGCATGTGTTTTCCAACACTTGCAGTTTCTCCTGCCTTCCTTCCATACCAGAATGTTGGCGGGCAGGGTTAAAGGCTTGGGCAACTTAAGGGAGGATAAAAAATTAAACAAAACAACTTGAGGGAAAAAATGATAAAAGGAACATTTACATAATGGGGTCCTGAAATCAAGAGCCAAATGGTCTCTAATTAGGATTCCAATTAGTCTCTTAAAATTCATTTTTCTATTTTCAAATGAAACTTCCTGAAGTCATCGGCTAATAGGTATCTGATTGCAGACGGTAGAAAACTCAATTATCCTTAATATGTACCTGTCAGAGAAGGCATGTCTATGTTTGTAAAGAGCAAGATTTAGAATGAAGGCTGGGAGCTACTTGAAGACGAATTTCATCAGAACAAATAATTTTAAACTTTTGGAGTTCATAAATCAGAATTCAGAGGTAGTCAGGGCACGGTATAGGCTGTTCTATGTGCTTGGCAGTCCACTCTATCAATATTAGCTGACTGGCCAGCTTTGTGCTGTTCTGTCAACTTTTCATTGTATTAATCTGTTCACAAAATCATTTTTGTTGGCAACATATTTACACTCCAAATCACATCAAAAAACTTTTTTTGCACATGCTGTCAAATCCACTCAGAAGGTGAATGTAGTTACAAAAACAAGATAAAACGGTCTGCATTACCAGTAAAAGGAGTGCAGCATGGCTGTGCTGGGAGTCCACTATAATCGCTAGCTAAAAGCCAGAGTAGATAACATACATATATAACTTCTATGACTAGCAGCTTAATGGTGGCAGTTCAAGTTGCTAATGCAACTTAAAGTAAAACATAGGGGTTTGTAAATCCTTACTCTGGCTGTTTCAATCCTCTGCACCTAGTCTAACCCGGTTTGACTGGTACTCAAGTATAAATGGTATGCAACCAGGAATATGAGATTCAGTTCCTTTTGTGGCCTAAATTGAAATGCACTAAGAGAATGACTCTCTTTGCATATGATCATGCCAAGATCCTCTTAACGTGGAAGTTTCTTATTCTAAATGCATGTTGCATGTAAACATGTTGCATGGTTGAACTAAATTCAGCAACTGTATAGACTTTGATGTTACCCATATTATTGTGTCCACTTAACGTGGTTGTTTCTTATTCTAAATGTGTCTTGCATGGTTGAACTGAATTCAGCAAGTATGTAGACTTTGACGTTACCCAATATTATCTTCCGTTGAGTAACAATACTATCTCTTCTTGTAGCTTTTGGCCCATTATCAGCCTTCATCCAAGCATTGATTTTAACCATATAAACTTACCACTTGAATGCAGTGAGTTATCAACACAATTTTCCAAACCTTTTACAGAAAAGTTTTGGGTTTTATGGAACTTAATATTCTTGCAGGGCTTATGGAGTTTGAGTTTCTCCATGAGGTTTAGATCTTCTAATTTGACACCATTTTGCTATCCTATTACATGAGTTCCTTTGTTCCGTTTATGAGAGGAATGAGGAAAGATTCTTATCGCTTATTTTGAATTGTTTGACAGAGAAAATGTAACTGCAGACAAAGTTAAGGAAGCACATCGAAAGGTTATGGTAGCAAACCATCCTGATGCCGGTGGTAGCCACTATCTTGCTTCTAAAATCAATGAAGCGAAAGACGTCATGCTTGGGAAAAAAAGAGACAGTGGATCCCCATTTTGACGCAGTTGATGATTCTTGATGAGCATTGGCAATGTTCATTCCTCAGAGCTTTACTGTCTTAATGTTTTTTGATATGCATATGGCAAGAAAGGCAAATCTTATGCGGGAATCAACACCAGCAATACATTGATTCCCTTGTCTCAGACATCGAAGGTTTCAAGTTTTGACCTACTTGCACTACCCCTATGGCTGGTGAAAGCTCTAGAAAGTAGAAACTGTAACAGACACATGTCTATAGTTCCCTTTCATTTGATTATAGGTACAATAAATTGTGATGGAGTTAAAATGACCCAAGCTTGAGGGTTTTAGATTTAACATGTGACACCATTTTTGTCGACTGTAACTTGAATTTGATCTGGATCATTTGTTGGGATTCATTTGTTTGCTTTGCACTTGGCATATTTCATGACCGGAGCCACATATATAACATGGGCTCAACTTAAATGTCGCAATGCCTCCAGCAACACTACAGATTACAAAGCAATACATTATCCTGCAACAAGTTATGGTCCATCACATTTGCAACTACATCCAAACATAATGGATCATGATATAGGTTAAACAATTGCATGACCTACTTGTTAGGATGGCATTGAGGCTCTTATTAAGTACTTAATCTTGATAGGTACCAGTACCAGGGAAACCATTCAACATGATTAAACGTGATTCAGAAAATAGAAGATTAAACATGTGATTAACTTTCAGTAGAATTAAATCAGGAAACCATTCAACATGATTGAAAGAACCTGGCACCAGAAGACATAGCAGTACCATCTGCTTGGCTGATGGACTGTTTGCTTTTAAATCAAGTTTAACTTTAAAAAGCTCATATAATTAGCATCTTACTTATGGCATGATTATACACACTAAAAAAAAAGCCCCAGCCGCCGTTTGGATTGGTTATTTTTTCAAAAAGAAGTTTTTCAAATACAATGCTACAGTAATACACAAATAAAAATAATTCCAAAAACATTTCATTCATATAATATATCAAATATTTCAAAAAATTTTTATAATAAAAATTTTTCATATACACTGCTACAGTAAAAATTTTTAAAAACACCCCTCAAAACAGCTAATCCAAACTTATTCAAATTAATTACTTCTATCCATTTCCTTCTGAAAAGTTAAAAAATAGTTTTACAAGATTAACTCCTATGGCAAGTACTCAGTGGTTTACTAACTCATAAGTGAGGCCCAAAAGAATGCACAGTCCACATATCTTTTATGTCAAAAGAGCCCAATCAACTTTGGCCCATTCACCCAATTCTCGGAAAAAAAAACAGAAAAGAATTTGAAAAGAGAGAGAGAGAGAGGGAGAGAGACCCATTTCCCTCCGCCTCCTTCCCTATAAAGATTGGGATGAATCAAAATCAACGAACCCTCCTTCCCAATCCCATTTCCCAAATCTCTTCACTGTTCGACCCTTCACCCTTCATCTAGGGTTCCATTAACTCCACGTTCTCTCACACACACCAAAACCCACCCAAAAACACGCAGTAAAACGCCTATAAATAACCCCCTTGTGGGCACTCTCCCGATGTCTCAATTTCGATTACGTTTGTGCGATTGTGTTGTTAAAGAGTCGATTCGGAAAGTTCTAGGCATTGGGTAGTAGCGATGGGGCGCAGCCGAGGCAAGAAGAAGGGCAGCGAAGAGTTCGAGCCACGAGAAGTTGACGATTTCGACGGTGGAAAGGCCGGGAGGAAGAAGCGACGGCGATCGGAGTTCGTCGATGATGTAGCGGAGGAGGAGGAGGAGGAGGAGGAGGAGCGCGAATATCGCGCTGGTAAACGCCGCCGCTCAAAACGGAAGTCCGGGTTGCAGTACTTAGACTGGGAAGCGGTGGTTGATGATGATGAGGAGGAAGATCAGGAGGACGAGGAAGGATTCGACGACGGTTAGAGAACTTTGACATTTATATTTTTTTCTAGTTTTATTGCATTTACTATGAATAAATGTCATTTTTTAGTAAATTTGTTCGTAAGGGCCTTTTTTTCCCCCTTTCCTTCTTTATTAATTATCAGGGTTAAAACAAAAAAAAAACCACTGAATACTTAAACCCCCCCCCCCCCCCCACAAAAACAAAAAAAAGAAAAGAAAAGCGCCACTGACTATCCTAATGGCTAATATATCAGTAGTAGATAAATATATATTCTTCATCCTGATTGAAGAAGGCCTACCATTTTCGTTACCCGATTGAGCAAGTATTATTTTCGTCTGCGCATGTTAAGAGATACGAGTTGGCTGCAATGTAGTTTCTTTCTTTGATGGCCTATGAAAGTTGTCTGCTTTGTGCAAGTTCCTTCATATAACTGGGAGTGTCTCTTGATATTAGTCAAGAGAAAGAAATACTTACATACCATGAATCTGCTCATTAAACTTCTTAATGTATAGCCCCAAAAAAGAGTCAAACAAATCCTTTAGCGTTGGATGTTTTTGGCGGATGTTATGACACAATGATCAACTTCTTTACAAGAATGTTGCATTTCGTTTGTTTGAGTTTTTAATACTTGATTGTTGACCCATCAGTGCTGTTCGATGTTTTTGTTGACATATATAGACTTCATAGAGAATGGGAGCGCAGATATACTTGATAAAGATGATGCTATACAGACACATCGTAGTTTCCTTGTTGATTCTGAGGATGATGAAGAAGAAGATATTGAGGCACTTGAGAAGAGGGTACAGGAAAGATATGGCAAGAGAGATTTGGAGCTTGATGAAGAGCCAACAGAAGTCGAACAACAAGCTCTCTTACCTACTATTAGAGATCCAAAATTGTGGAGGGTGACATGTGTGGTATGTGATTTAGCCTCTCTTCTGGACTGAACTTGAAGGCTCTTATGAAAGTGCATGATATCTGACTCGTGGTTAATGTAGAATGGTCATGAAAGAGAAGTTGCTTTTTGCCTGATGCAAAAGTCTATTGATGAAGGATCTCATCTGCAAATCAGATCAGCTGTAGCTCTTGATCATATTAAGAACTATATTTATGTTGAGGCAGACAAAGAAGCTCATGTGAAGGAGGTATGCGTTAATTGTAGGAGTACAGTGTGTATGTGACAGAGTTATGTCTAGCCATTACATTCCTGTTAATGTAGTTTCTTGCTTCTGTTACAGGCATGTAAGGGATTACGTAAAATAAATAGTAAACAAATAATGCTTGTTCCACTCAAGGAGATGACAGATGTCCTTTCAGTGAAGACTAAAGCTGTTCATCTTTCTAGGGGTGCTTGGGTGAGAATGAGGAACGGAATGTACAAAGGAGAACTTGCCAAGGTTGTGAACCTTGTTTTCCTTCAATTTTGTTGTTTGGATCTCTTTGAGATACTATTTTTCTTGACTTCTAGCTATTTGTCCTAAAGGTTGTTGATATAGATAATGTGCGGCAGAAAGTAACGGTGAAACTGTTCCCCTCAAATAACTTGCGGGCCCTAGTAAGTAAATTGTTTGTGTTATCTGCTGTATTTATTTTTGGTTTTTTTAAAATTGCTTTTACTAATTTTTTTTTCATTTATGAAATTTCTACTACTTATCATCTTCTATTTAAAAATTTTGTTCTCTGCACTTTGGAGTGATTAATGATAGCTATTTTTTTTTTTTTTTGCTGTTTTCTATTAGCACGTTATGATATGCCTGTATACTTACATAGCAAGTTACTTTTTCCAGGGTGATGGAGTTTCAAAGAAAAATGATTTTCATATCACACCGCGTTCCAAAGATGGTTTTTTACTCAAAGAAGTGTCCTTCAGATCAGTTAATGCATGTGGCGTACATCCCACTATTGATGAACTTGAGAAATTCCTTCATTCTAGTCACATTGAAGATGGTGATATGGCAAATTTATTTAGTCTATCGACAAATAGGAAGAAAGCGCAGTTTTTTAAGGGTGATCGAGTCATTGTCGTGAAGGGTGATCTTAAGAACTTGAAGGGATGGGTAGAGAAAGTTGAGGAAGATAACATCCATGTGAAACCAGATGTAGGGTATCACCTGGTAAAATAGCTAACTTCATGGCTTCAAACTTTCGTGCTGAAGTGCCTAAAAATGCATAGTTGGTTCTTATGATTGTTTGCACCATAATTTTTTCAGGATTATCTTGTAATGAGTCACAAAGAGCTTTGCAAGTACTTCGAACCTGGGAATCATGTTAAGATTATATGTGGAGCAGCAGAAGGTACAACTGGTTTTGTGGTTTCTGTTGAGGGGCATTTGGTGAATATAATATCTGATACCACAAAGGAACTTGTAAGTTTTTCCTATTTAACTTAATGTCTTTCAGCATTCCGAAAATCTGCAACGAAGACAGGTAACTTACAAACTTCATGATTTTCTAGCTTCAAGTATTTGCTGACCATGTCATGGAGATATCTGAAGCAGCAAGCGGTGTCGATCAAATTGAAGATTTTGAGCTTCATAACCTTGTGCAGCTGGAGTAAGTCTTTCTTACATCTGGACATTATTGTGTTAGTGTGAATGCTAGCTAAAATTTGTTCATTTTTTGTGCAGTGATTCGAGTTTTGGTGTCATCATTCATATTGAGAATGAATCTTTCCAGGCGAGTTTTATGATATGGTGTAAAGTTGTGCTGTTAACCGACGTAAGTTGCTGAAGTTTGGTATTACCTTTTCAGGTACTAAAGGGGATCCCAGGGAAAGCGGTGGTAGAAATTGTAAAGCTGGGAAACATAAGATGCAAACTTGACGGAATAAAATATCAAACAAAAGATCAACTAAACCACCAATTATCAGTGAATGACCTTGTGAAAGTTGTGGAGGGTGTATGGAGGGTGAGTATTTTGACTGCTTGTAATGTATGTCTCTTGGAATTACCTGTTCTATCATTGATATTATTTCTTATCCTCCTCCTTCAGGGAAGGACAGGTAAAATTGTACATATTTACAAAGGAAATCTGTTCATTTATGACCATCATCACCTGGAGAATGCAGGCTTTATGTGTGCAAAATCTCAATCTTGTATACTGCTTGCTGGTGGATCACGAGCAACTAACAACTGGAACGTATGGATCGTGTATCCTGTTTGGCTAGTTTTTATCTGTTTTAGTTTGCTGTTTCCAGTCAAAATTCATACAATTTTGCTACCGTGTAGGGTGAGAATACTAGCTCATGCTCTCGTGTTCATCTGTCTCAACAGAGATCATCTAGAGGCTGCTCATCTATGAATGGTATGTGGAATGTGTTTTTATTCTATTAATTGTTTACTTGATTTCATTATGTTCTTTTAACTTCAAAAGTTGGATCTAGGTATTTGTTTTTAATAACCATATTTTTTGTACTCGATTTTCTCTACTTTTTAGAATGTGGCTCATCTGTGAATGGTATGTTGCTGTGTTTCTTGATTGAAAGTTGAAAATAATTGTGACATTAAAATCTCTTTTAGCTAGAGGAAGATATGGGGTTCAGCAAGAGCGTGATGCTTTG